ATTATTATTATTATTATTATTATTATTATTATTATTATTATTATTATCTCTGCCCCAGACAGATTTTCTGACAGCTTCTAGCCCCAGAATAACAAGATGGCTCCACATTTCCTTCTTAAATCTTCCCTGGCAATGCTGTCATTCTCAGCCTCCCGTTCTCACTCCTTGACCATGCTTAGGAAAACCTAATGTTCAGGAATCCTTCGCCCACCCCCTTCCTGTCCTCCCCCAGTAGCTCCTTTCTTTCTCCCTTCTCTCACCAGCCAGATCCCTGGTCCCTAGGGATTGGTTCAGGGCCCTGGCGGTCATCAGTCTGGCCTGCCTTGTGTTAGAGACTCTGACCTCATCCCATAACTCTTGGAGCCCACATTAACTTACACACACACACACACACAAACACACACACACACACACACACACCACTCCACTTCTATTTGTGAACCTCACTTAGTTTCCCTGTGCCTCTCAATAGAGCAGGATTTTCTTGGACCACTGAACAGATGAAGATGCTCCTGCACATTTTTCCCCTGTGCTCTCATGCCAGACACACCCTTGCCCAAGAGAACAGAGTCCTGGTGGATAAGGGGTCATAAAAGCAGAGGGACCCCTAGACCCTGCTCTGGAGTTGGCCGTGATCCCCACAGGCTCATCCTCAGTCTACAGAGCCTGAACTTGTTAAGGAGGACCTCCCTTCATGTATACATTCACATATTTGTTCCACAGATATTTGTTGAGCAATTACTGTGTAGCAAGCCCCAAGATAAAGCAGTACATGAAGCAAGCAGAGCCCCTACCTTTCTTCTCCATCAGAGTTAAGGCTAGATCTCCCCCTCCCCCACACTGTCATAATTCATCACACAGATAAATGACATATATACACAAGCCAGAATCTAAAGTGAGGTCTGTTGGCTGATTCAAACTAGGCTTTGGCCAAGCTAGTGGATATGGGTGGAGAGACTCCCCGGCAAACCCCATCAAGAGCAGTTTAGGGTACGGGCTCCCCAAGATGGGTCTCCGTGGCAGACGAGTGCATCACTGATGAGTTTTAAAGTCACCTCTTTTTGTAAATCAGAGATAATAGAATCTACTCTCAAGGAGTTATAACAAGTAAATTAAGTTATGCATATAATGCGTAGAGCCATGTCTGGTATACTCAAGCAGCCAGTAAATATCAGTTGCTATGATAATAATAGTAATATTATTAAAGGCTCCCAACAGTCTTCATCAGGAGGCAACAGTCCTGGGCAGAAAAGCACTCTGCATTTCTTAACACCTTCTTGTGCCCAAAACATGAAAAGCTCCAAGATCCCAGCTCATCCCCACCAAGCTATGGGCTCACCACCCCCACCATTGCCTAGTCTCATTCAGCAATGCACACACCCTCACACACAAATACTCATACTAGAAACTCCGCCCCATCCTACATAAAGGCTCTCAGATCAGGATAGTGGCTTGCCTAAGGTCGGTGAGACAAAAGCTTGAAGCTAAGGGTTGACTTAAGGGATTTCTGCCTGACCCACCCTGCAATCCACATCTCTCAGCCTGGGATAGTTACAATTGTGAGAAACCAAGTTAATTCACGTCTACCATCCTCTAGTGGCCATCATCAACACGTAGTGTCATCTCCCTGATCGAGAGTTAAAGAGAGATGGCTCAGTGAGCAAACATGCTTGTCATGCAAGCGTGAGGGCCTGAGTTCGAGCATCTGTACTTGCTTTTAACCCTGGTGCCCCTCCAAGGATGAACCCCCAGAAGATTACAGGCCAGCTAGCCTGATATCGGTAATGGGAAAACAACTCAGGGTATACACACATACATGCAAAAGTTAGGCCAGTCATGGTAGTACACACCTACACTTCCAGTACTCACAAGGCTGAAGCAAGAGGATTGTTTAGAGTTCAAGACCATCTTGGACTAAATAGTGAGACCTCAGACTAAATCACTTATAAGCACCCATACATATCAGGCAACTCACAACCACCTGTAACTCCGGTTCCAGGGGATGGGACACCCTCTTCTGGCTTCCACCATCACCCTCACACACAGCATACACTCACACAGACATAAATTTAAACTTGTGTTTGTTGGTTGGTTGGTTTGTTTTTTAAGACATGGTCTCTCTCTATAGCCTGACTGTCCTGTAGCTCACTCTGTAGTCCAGGCTGGCCTGGAACTCAAGAGATATGTCTGCCTCTGCCTCCCAAGTACTAGGATTAAAGGCATGCCACCACACCCAGAAATTTTAAACTTTTTTAAAAGCAAAATGAAAAACCAGTCAGACACTGTGGTACATGCCTGTAATCCCAGCACTCAGTGAGACAGAGGCAGGTGGATCTCTGTGGGTTCAAGGCCAGCCTGCTCTACAAAGCAAGTCCAGGACAGCCAAGGCTACACAAAGAAACCATCTCAAAAAAAAATAAATAAATAAATAAATAAATAAAATAAAAAAATAAAACAAAACTGAGAATATAGATCCATTGGTGGTCTACTCACCTAGCAGGCCAGATCTCCTGGGTTTAGTCCCTAGCACCCCATAAATTGGGTATAGTGGCACACACCTGTAATCTCAGCTCTTGGGAAGTAGAGACAGGTGGATCAGAAGTTCAAAGTCATCCTCAGCACATAGGGAGTTCAAAGCTAACCTGGATTGCATGAGACCCTATTCAATAGATAGATAGATAGATAGATAGATAGATAGATAGATAGATAGATAGATAGATAGATAGATAGATAGATAGATAATAGCAGCTAGAAATCTAGCATTTGCAAGGCCCTGGGTTCAATACCCAGTACAGGGAAGAAAAAAAAAAAAAAGAGCAAAGAAACAAAACAAAAACAAGTAAACAAAAACAAATTGATTAAGGATAATAGCATAGATGTCTCATCT